TAAAAAAAAGGATTCAGGAATCAAATTGAATGAGTGACGAAAAGAGGAAACCGATAGCTTTGGCTTAGTTTTGCTTAAAACGGGGAGGATCGAACATAATTTGTGTAATTATAGAAATAAATATTAGATTTGATATTATTGTTATTATGATAAATTTAGAGTTTCTTAGTTAGTAGATTACTTAACCTCTATATAAAGATTCCTCACATAATAGTTTCATATCATTTAATATTTCAATATACATTTCTTTCAATTTTTTCCTTCTCTTTTCTCCATGTTTTAATTTCTTCTATATAATATCAGAGCCACATGCTAATGGTACTAAATTTGTTAAATTTGCTTTTGCTTCTGCACAGATCTTGTTTCTTTTTCTTCTTTGCAAACTACGTTTTCAATATTAAAAAAGAAAAAAAAAAAAGCATATTTCTCCTTTCAATAGAAAAAGGCATATTTTCTATTTTTTAGCTTCTGCAATTCTTATAGTCCATTTTTGTTTTTCTTTCACTTCCGCAATTTTTTTTTTTTTTGTTTTATTTTCTATTTTCGCAATTTTCATTATTATTAACGTCTCCTAGTTTCAATAAAGAAAAAAAAATAAACTCCCTTAATTTGATTGTCAAAACCCTTTAATTGATTTTGACCAAAATAATTTTAAATTGGTTAGTCCAATTTAATTAGTTCATTATATGTTCTTAATGAGCTAATTGTGTTTTATTTTGATTTTCTACCAATTTAAATTTCTTATACTTCACCTTTTCTCGTTCTATTTCAGATTACTTTGCACGTTTTCAACCTCTATCGCACATGTTGACTTCTTCTCTCTCAAATTCTTCAAATTTTCTTTCTCTACCTTCTTATTTTCCTAACCTTTTGTTCTCCAATTCAATCTTTTATAATTTTCTCATATTTCATCATTTGCTACTTCAGTTTTTTCTTTCTTTAGTTGCCTGCTATTTCTTTGTAGCTCTGGACAAATTCTCATGTTTCACCTTCAATAAATAGAAGTTTCAAGGTGTTTCTAGCTTCAAGATTTCTTCACTCTTCTCACTCACATGTTGGCTTCTGGATCAAGACACTTTTTGTGATTAGTTATGAATGCACCATGGCAATTTGCTGTATCAAACTCTAGGTGGTATCTTTAAATATTAGGGGCCTAGGAGGGGTGGGGAAAAAGAGGGAGGTTCGGGAATTGGTGATGAGGCACAGAGTATAGATTTTGTTTTTGCAAGAATCAAAAATGGAACTAGTAGACAAACAACTATGTAGAAAACTTTGGGACTCAGACAATATGGAGTGGGTGGCAAAACCATCTTCGGGAGCCTCGGGAGGATTAATCATAATCTGGAATAGTGAGGTATTCAAGAAAGTAGATGTTTTTGAAGGTGATGGTTTTCTTGGGATTTATGGGTTATGGGGACCTGATGCTCACCCGTGCATTTTGTGTAATGTATACTCTTCGTGTGATTTGGAGAAAAAGAAAATTCTGTGGGGATCATTTCAGCAGAAAATAAAGAACAACAGGGGATGCTGGTGCATAGGGGGTGATTTTAATGTCATCAGATGTCTACAAGAAAGGAAGGGAGGAAGGAGTGCAAGGAGAGAAATCATGGGTTTTCAAGAATTCATCTTGAACAGCGGATTGATGCATTTACCACTGTTGGGAAGGAAATATACATGGTATCAACCGAATGGTCAATGTATGAGCCGCTTGGACAGGTTCTTGTTCAATGATGAATGGTTAACGAAATGGCCTGATTTGAAGCAATGGGGTCTCCACAGATCTATGTCGGATCACAGCCCAATATTGGTAAAAAATGAAGCACATAATTGGGGTCCAAAGCCATTCAAATTCTTTAATGCTTGGCTACATAACCCGGGATTTACAGAGATGGTTGCAGCAAAATGGAGAGAGATTTCAATCCAAGGATGGGGTGGATTCATTTTGAAGGAAAATTTGAAAATGACTAAAGAGTTCCTTCGGGTTTGGTCAAAATCTTCATTACAAGAAGTGGATAGAAAGATTGAGGAATCCAAGGAGGAGATGAACAGAATTGATGTAAAAGTAGAAACTTGCAGCTTAGCAAAAGAAGATCTATTTCTTAGAAGCTCACACTACACTGAGTTATTAAAGAATATGCAACTGAAAGAAGAGATGGCCCAACAAAAAGCAAGGAAAAACTGGCTGAAAACAAGAGACGCTAATACCAGTTTCTTCCACAAATGCATCAAAAGGAGATGGCGCAAAAATGAAATAAATGTAATCTCCATAGAGGGCAAAGAGTTGAGGCAAGTTGGAGATATAAAACAAGGAGTAATGAAGTATTTTGAGAACTTATTTACTGATGAGGGATGGACAAGACCGAAGTTAAAGGGGCTCAAATTCAGAACCATTTCGGAGGCAGATAGATGTATGCTTACTAAGCCTTTTACAGAAGAAGAAGTCAAAATAGCGGTATGGAATTGTGACAGCACCAAAGCACCAAGGCCAAATGGATTTACATTCGGTTTTATAAAGAATGAATGGGAGGTGATCAAGGCAGATATCATGGAATTCCTTAAGGATTTTCACAGCAACAGAAAACTGGTAAAGGGGTCTAATGCTTCTTTTCTCGTCTTGATACCGAAGACAGAGAACCCCCAAGGTGTGGAGGAGTATCGACCTATCTCTTTAATTGGATGCACTTACAAAATTCTTGCTAAACTGCTAGCAAACAGGCTCAGCAAAGCATTGAACTCAATTATAGGAGAAAATTAATCTGCTTTTATTAAGGGAAGGCAACTTGTAGATGGAGTGGTTGTTGCAAATGAAGCAATTGATGGGGCACAAAAAAGAAAATCTCGGTGCTTTATTTTCAAAATTGACTTTGAAAAAGCTTATGATAAGGTGAGCTGGTCCTTCTTTGATTACATGATGGAGAGAATGGGTTTTGATATAGTATGGAGGGGATGGATCTCCGAATGCTTAAGATCAAACACGATGTCCGTTTTAGTCAACGGAAGTGCTACCAAAGAGTTCTCGATGACAAGAGGGCTCTGACAAAGCGACCCATTATCTCCATTCCTGTTCCTAATGGTGGCAGAAGCTCTAAATGGACTAACTTCCACAGCTGTTGCAAAGGGATACTTCCGTGGGGTCAAAATAGGAGAGGGAGAGTTAAAAGTTAGCCATCTTCAGTTTGCGGATGACACACTTTTTATGGGAGAGGCGACTGAAGATAACATTTGGACAGCAAAATGCATAATGAGGGCATTTGAATTGGTGTCATGGTTGAAGATAAATTACAGAAAAAGCTCTTTAATTGGAGTGAATACAGATGAAGACTGGATCAGAAGCATGGCATGGATGCTAAACTGTAAAACCGAATCCCTCCCCTGTAAATATCTCGGCATGCCATTGGGGGCAAACCCAAAGAGAATAACCACATGGAGACCTCTAATAGACACATTCAGAAGAAAGCTCTCAGTTTGGAAAGGAAGATTCTTATCTCTCGGTGGACGAATTACCCTCATAAACTCTATGCTATCCAGCCTACTAGTGTTCTTGATGTCGGTATATCTGCTCCCAAAACAGGTAATCCATGAACTTGATAAAATTAGGAGGAATTTTTTGTGGGGAGGGGTTGAGGGAGGCAGAAAGATAGCTTGGGTATCCTGGGACAGGGTGTGCAGCACAAAAAAA